ATATAAACCCCTGCAGTAGTTTAGCATTTAGTATCTTTATATGGGAAATACTACTCCTCAAAATCATAACGCAGCATATTTAAGGACATTTCTCATTGTATCAAATTATTTTTAAAGCTTTACTCATCAATGTCACATCATTTTATATTCACTGTGATGAAATTTACTTCACCCACTTCAGAAATTATTCAGAGCTGAACATTCAAAAAGGAATCCTAACATTTGTGCTTTTACAAGAATCAGTCTTTAAATGACTAGATATTTTAGGCCTGACTTAAAAAACTAAAATAGCTATTATTTAACATGCCAAGACAGGAACTTCTGGAAGTTTCAAGTCTGCTAAATTAACATTAAATTCCTTTAGAACTTGAAAAAAATCTTCACCAACTTTGACTTCAAAATCCACATGGCTGCTTCTCATATATTAAACTGTTTACTGGAGCTTCTATCAGTTATTAAATCATCCACAATACTGTTCAACATCCAATAATAAAATTTGTTGCTACAGTGTTTGTGTGAATAAAATGCATGATATGTTGTTATTATCTTATTTTACTAATAAAAGTGAGCCTGGTAACTGAGCACAACAACTAAATAATCCCACGTGCAACTGGAAAGTTAAAGTTTGGTGTGACGTCGTTCTGACCTAGCGTTAGCATCGGCTAACTCCAGTATATTTACCAACCAGTCTTCCATGTGTGAAAGAGAAAAAAAATCTTATTTTCCAAAAACRTCACAAGCAAATCTGACTATGAAGTTGCAAATAGAGAAAAGTGATGATTGTTTCTGTTTTGTCTCCCTTCAGTCTATCAGCCAGGGCTATGGTGTCCTCCCAGGATCCTGACTGCCGCTACCCAGGTGACCAGAGCTCATGATGGTCACTCGAGTGTAAGAAGGCTGGTTCAAACGCTGCCAGAGAACCAAGACAGAGCTCGAAGGACTAACCGAGGTGTCATCTCACAACATTATCCATTTAAAAAACAAACTAAAAGAAATGTTGCACATAATAAAACTTGGCCTGTACTGGAACTTGACAATCATCTTAATGTGAGATCAACGTGTGCTGGGATTCTTCTGCACACGTTGAGTGAAATAAAAGCCAGTGACTTAATAATGATGATGATACTGATGATACCGTTCCTATGGAGTTTCTCTAACTGCAGTGGGAAAACAGTGAGAGGAGGTGTGTAAACCAGCGAGATGAAGATGGACTCTGGATTTTTCCTCTTCGACAAGAACTTTCTCTCTTCAATGGCTGCAGAAACAATTTTCAAAAAGGAGGCTTTTACCAAGCACAATATCCATTCATGGTGATGCCTTTGACAAGCAACAGTTCTGTTGTTCACTTATTTGCCATTCGCGGTTCTCATATCCAAGATTTGTTTTGGTTCTGACGAATTCTATTTTACAAAGTTGGATATTGTCATAATTTATTTATTTATTTTTTTGCTTCCTTCGAGATACAACCATCTCAACTAAAAAGACGCCAAACGAGATCTACAATCAACTGCTTTATGTACAATCTRATCCACTTTTTTTTCTTTTTACATATATTTTGGCACACAATGTAAAGTCTTGACTTCCAGTGTGCATAACAAATAATTTATTAATTTGGCTAAACAGGAAAACTTAACTATAACGTGTTTCTACATGTTGTAATAATGATATTGATGATGATCGCTACGCTCAAAGCATTTTTAACATTTCAAACCAACGATACAAAGTGATACAATATTTACAGGCTTAAGGAAAACAGTTGGATTGCAGGCACTTCATTTATGCAGCTTGGTGGTGCTACTCATTCTGCACAAAATGCTGTTTGATTGGCACCTTCTGAAGGAAAACTATCTTTAAAATTGAACGTGAATGAGGATATCAGAAATAGCTTTAAGGTAATGTTCATTCACACTGAGTTTATTTCAACTAGARAAGGGATCCATCCATCCATCCATCCATCCATCCATCCATCCATCCATCCATCCATCCATCCATCCATCCATCCATCCATCCATCCATCCATCATCTTCACTTCTTCCTTTCGGGGTCACTGGTGCTCACATCCAGCAGTCATTGCATGAGGGGTGGGGGACACCCTGGACAGGTCGTAAGTCCATCACAGGGCCACTTTCACCCACACCTATAGGGACAATTTCCAAAGAAAATCCACTCAGAGCGATGAGGACATGCGAACTCTATTGAATTATTGCTCTGCAACCAGCCTGATCTGGAACAAAAAGCCTCAAAATTGAACAATTATAAACGTATTTAAGGTGACGTCTTTTGCTGTACTTTTTTTTTTTCACGAGTCACTTTGTAACACTGGTTTGAAATGTAACATATAAATATGTTTTATGATGATAAGCCAGATGTGCAACAATAACGATTACACAGTAAGCGGTGATCTCTCATTTGTTTAATGTGTCTGGAGCAAACAGTAGATGTCTGACAGTCTACACGTCATTTTTGAATGCAAGAAGTGAGTTGCACCAATGTAAAAACAAAAACATACATTTTGAARCAGCTTTCTCATTTTAAGGCATTCATTTTTTAATGTAACCTGCCGGCTTTTCCATTTTTATCGGAAGAGCGAGGCACCGGGCCTTTTGCATTAAACAACGTGAGAACAAAGACAGAAAACGGATGGAAATCATAACACCAGAACACCAAGAAGCAGGGATATGTAAGTATATGTGCATAGGATTTGACTGCCTTACAGTCTGCACCACGGGACCCAAAAATACCAATATAAAAAAGAAAAAAAAGTCACTGTAAACTTTGTATATTAATTGTCTTTTTTGTAGTCAGGTGATGAATCAATAAGCAGTGTGTTGGTTAACTCCGTTAGAATCATTTACAGGAAAAAAATTCATGGTTGATATAATTTATCTTAACCTCTTGCCTTTAAAATAAAAACATTTTACTTCAAGGTAAATGATACAAAGTTAAATGTTTATGTTACCAGAAATGTATAAAAATAGCTTAATGTATATTTATTCTTTTATGTCAAACCTATTTAAATCAAAGGTAGGCCCTCAGGCATGTTCAAGTTGTGGCAAAAATGAATTCTTATAAATATTATAACTCTTAATGCTGCAATCCAGAAATAATAATGCTAATGGATGACAGATGGGTTCTTTTTTTCTGTGTCCAGATGAATAACAGGATGGACTCTTGCACTTGATTATGTGTTGCATAACCAAAATGGCAGCCATGCTTTCAACAATGCTGGATTGCAGTTTTAAGTTTCTGTTGAATTATGTATTTATTTTGTTGGCCTGCTTTGCAATACGATATTCTGAAATGTTTTGTTTCATAACTTTTTTATTTTTCAAGAAGCTGCAATCCATCGTGTGTGAGGAATATTCCAGAGGTATAAAAAAATAATGCTATASCCATGTATTAGTGAAGATTGCTCAGTTAGCTTCAGCGGTTCAGTGGACTATCTCTAAAATCTGTTTTATACCTGACTTGGCTAAAAAAAAAMCTAACAAAAACAAAGCAAAATTGTATTATTTTGAAAAACGCCAACTTCAAACTACCAAATAAGAAAAAAAGAATCAGGTCAAAATTTTATATATCACCATTTTTGGCCATTTCTGAATTTTGTTTAATTTGTTACATTCAAGTGCCGTTACCATCACAATCATGCAAATCTCCTTGATTGATTGCATGTTAGGTTCTCAGGTGTTTTGACGAGCACAGAGGTAACTTCTATCTTTTTCTGCCAAATGCAGTAAACATGAGAACCGGTGAGCATTTCCACTAATCAAATCAAATCAAACAAAAAAAGCCCCACGACACGATTCTGCTTTTCTTTTCACTTTGCTTTTTAACCCTTATTTCATTTCTCCAGTGTAGTTTTACTCATGCGTTCTGTTTTATTTGCCACAGAAGAGGGAAAACTATATTTCTTTTGTTGCTCTAAGATAAAACATATTTATGAGGATCTTTACAAAATATGCTATTGAAAAAAAAAAGTGTTTGATGTTTACAGATTTATGACATTTTAGATGATGTGTGACCCTTTGTTGAACAAAGTGGGGGGTGGGGTGGGGGTGTAACTGCACATCAGTGCAGGACCTAACAGTAGAGATGCACCGATCACAGTTTTCTCAGCCGATTTGCAATTATATTTTAAATATTTTTGCAAATCTCTGATTTGGCAATTCTAATTACAGACAATTTGGATTTCTCTATAGGAAATATGATAGATAAATAATGAATGTGTCGTTTAAACATCCTTTAAGCTATCTTCTTTTTCCTAATTTATTTATTTAGCACATTTCAAATCATGACTGAAGAACTTTTTATTTTTCGTTTGACGAGGCTTTCCCTCGTCTTTCTTTTTAAACACTTCACTAATATAAACCATGCTAATGTTGAACCATCTTTGCTTGGTTACAACCTTCCCTGCAAGCGAAAAATTAGCTTTCATGGACCAAGAAAAAACTTGACTTAGCTTTAAGATGTTTACAAATTAAAAAAAAAATAAGATTTGGTTTGCGGGCCACTAGTGAAGCCAGTCCAGCTGAAAATCAGCCAACTTTGGTAAGCAGCGAAATGATTGGTGCACCCCTACCTAACAGAGTTTATCATATATTCTAAGAAAGAGGGTATATAATATCAATATTTAAGTTTCTAAAATGGATGCACAATATATTTCTTGGCAGCTATTATTCTGCACAATTGACTGGCTGTGTCACAGATATAAATATATAGATATATATGTTATTTATAGTAGGTGGGATATCTGACTTGAATTAGGCCTACTGGATGTATTACCTTAATTTACTTGAGGTTTCTTTTGAAATAAGCCATGCCCCATTGATAAGCCATACCCTCCAAACCCTCTGATGTTGTATGGTGGATGTTTAATGTTGGTAGTTTTCTTTCTAATGGTAGTTATTGTAGGTATGATTGCGCTTGTAATTATTATTATTATTATTATTATTCATATTATTAGTGTAACTATACTTGATTGATATGATTTGTTTGAACAAAGGGAATGTATTCATATTTCAGGTGATTTTTTTCCCCCTCAAGTGATTTAAATAAATTATTAAATCTTTAACCAATGATTTGTTATTTTTAAATTATTTACTTTTCTCTATAATGAC